TTAGCTGAAAACTAGCTTTACTTTGTTGTCTAGGTCATTGAAAGGCTGCGCCAATGGGACTTATTGTTTCGGAGGAAAAACATGAACACAGTGTACAGTCGAGTCTTAATAGCTTACTTGCAACTGGGCTTGTCAGGCAGTCTTTTTGGCTGCAGTGGTTATTATTATATTTACATACTTCATACATGCTATGCCTTTAACACTCTGCCTTCATATTAAATCATTTTTTGAATAATACTTTTTACAAATATTTCTTCACATCATAATGCAAGTAGAGGTGACATGGCTGTGAGATTGAAACCCAGGCATTAGAGCGTCTTAATGCGTATTTTGTTTGGGTGTCCACCAGCGTGGAATTAGCAAAAATAGAGAGAGCATAGCTTAACATATGGAACAGGAAAAGACCGCCATGTAATCCATTCATTTCAACAGAGTAATTGTATTCTGAATGCTACCTTGTTAAACAGTAACTGTAACAGAATACAGTTACTCATATTTCGTATTTTAAATACGTAACCGCGGTAGATGTATTTCGTTACTCCCCAACACTGTTGATCCCTAGGGTAAATTATTTTGGTTACGGTGCTCCAGTATAAACAGTAAAAAAGACAGACAATACGATAAGTAAGAAATAGACACAATATAAACAATATATACATGCATATATATACACATATAAGTCACTTATTGATAAATAGCTTAAAAAGTAGAAGAGCATGTGCAAAAAGGTTGTAGCTATTGCAGTATACAGTGTGTTAAGTGGATGAGTTGTACAAAATTGGCCACAGGCAGGAATGATTTCCTGTGTCGTTATGTGGTGCTTTTTGGTACTTTCAGTCTCTGACTGAACATGCTCCTGTGACTGACAAGCACGTCATGGAGTGGGTTGGAGGTATTATCCAACATTGTCTTTATTTCGGAAAACATCCGCCTCTCCAACACCACCTTAAGGGAGTCCAGCTCCATCCCCACAAAATTACTGGCCTTACGGATCAGTTTATCGAGTCTGTTGGCATCATCAACTCTCAGCCTGCTCCCTGGTGTAGAGGATTGTACTGGCCACAACAGACTCTTAGAAAATCCTTAGCATAGTCCGGCAGATGTTCAAGGACCTCAGACCCCTGAAACAATAGAGGCGACTCTGGCCCTTCCTGTAAAGCGCTGTGGTGTTTTTAGCCCAGTTTAATCCAAATTCCTGTCAATGTATACTCCGAGGTATTTATAGTTGTCCACAATGTCAACATTGACCCCCTGGATTGAAACCGGGGTCAAGTGTTTTCTGGTCTTCCTGAAGCCCACGATCAATTCTTTTGTCTTTGCCACGTTGAGCTGAAGAGGATTCTTCTCACACCATGTGACAAAGAACTCGACCACAGCCCAGTACTCAAGAGTCATCAGAAAACTTCTGAAGATGGAGGTCTCGGTGCAGTGGCTGAAGTCTGTGGTGTAGAGGGTGAAGAGGAAGGGGGAGAGGACAGTCCCTTGTGGTGCCTCTGTGTTGCTGATTACCTTGTAAGACACACACTGTGGAAGACGCACGCACACTTCCTGTCAGTTAATCAACAATCCAGGACACCAGAGAAGCATCAACCTGCATCGCTGTCAACTTATTTCCCAGGAGGGTTGGCCTGATAGCATTGAAAACACTGGAAAAGTAAAAAAGTCATGATGCTCACAGTGGTATCCGGCTGGTCCAGATGGACTTCCACGGGTGCGTTATAATTGTGAATGTCCTGGTGCATCCATGATTCAGTGAAACACATCAGGCTACACTCCCAGTATTCCCTCTGACTCTGTACCAGCGCTGAGAGCTTATCAATTTTATTTATTAACGATCGCACATTTCCCATTACGATAGACGGCAGACGTGGTTTGTACCTCCTCCTCGCTTCGAGCCACTGCTGTCTCATCGTCTCCCTCTTTCTTCTTTTCTGTCTTCCTGTTTTCCTTCAAATTTCAACTGGCACTTCTGTGGGTCTGGCCGGCCAACCAGCCGGCATCAGGGCGATCAGCTGATTCTGAAGTAAACAGTCCTTGAAGTATGTAGGAGTTGTGTCGCGGTCCCGTTCCTCGATAAAAGCACCTGAACATACATAAAATCTATATCAGCTCAAAGTCTGAAATACTTTTTCTTTCTGAAAAATCATAGCTTATTAAATGCTGTTTTTCTTACCTGTTTACTGTGACTTCTGTGTCTGAAGTTCAGTGTTGGGGAGTAACGGAATACAGGTACCGCCGTTACGTATTTAAAATACAAAATATGAGTAACTGTATTCCGTTACAGTTACTGTTTAAAAAGGTGGTATTTAGAATACAGTTACTTTGTTGAAATAAATGGATTATATGGCGGTATTTTTCTGTTTCATATTGTCGCGGGTCAGGACTGTTTGGCTTTGACAGCTACGTTCTGTTGTTCCAGGCGGCAGTGTTACTGTTGCCATGGTTACAGGGTGACGCTCTCTCTCTGTGACTGTGTGTTTCCTGGGTGAGAGAGCGCCTTTTTGCTGTTGTGCAAAGCTAATAGGCAGAATGCTACAGGCATAGCTCTAAAGAATGTAGCATCATGGGCAGTGTTGTCCGTGCTGCAGGGAGAAAGGACTTCCATACCAGTTATGTGTCTGTGAGCGCGAGGAAGGAGAGAAAGGAGAGTGGAAAAGTACCAGCTGTCATCGAGCAGAAACGGGAGATGGAAGCATGTAAATATAATAATAACCACTGCAGCCAAGAAGAGTGCCTGACGAGCCCAGTTGTAAGTAAGCTATTAAGACTCAACTGTGCACTGTGTTCGTGTTTTCCTCCAAAACAACAATAAGTTCAATTGGAGCAGCCTTTCAACCGCTTTCTCTGTCTGTCCCGTGGGTCTCTCGCAAGCAAATTTATGTGGGTCAACCTTGCTTGCGAGAGACCCACGGGTTCCGTGTCGGCTACGAGCCCGACACGGAACCTGATGTATTAGCCAGAGGTCCTTATACTATAGATCAGACCTTCAGTAACAGTAATAAATCACACAGCAATAGTACATCCATGTAGTTGTAAAAAGCATGACAATATATTTAGTAATCCAAAGTTTTCAGAATACTTTAGTGATGGGTTTGTCTAGCACAACCCCTCGCTGGAACGAGACAATTCTACTACAACAGCAAAAGCAAGACGGAAGTCACCAAAGTTCTTTATGTTAATCGTGCATGAGGGAGAGAACTGGATGAGCGCCGTTCCTTTACTTGACCCCAGTTGCTCTCATCTGCTCCCTCGCAACACTGTTCTTTATTGACATTACATGAATATGCACGGGTTCATTAACATAGGATATCTTACATAGGTAT